GACTAAGAAACTGCCTTAATTTCTGGGGTGATGGTGATCAGGCAGAGTGCACACAGACAGTTCAGGCTGCTCTGCTCTGCCTGCCTCGGTGCCCATGAGCGTGTGGAGAACTATACTGAAAAATGGGTCCAATAAATTCCCTTAAAACATGGCATTTTTCAGCTGACTGCTCTGCTGAGCCTCTGGAGAGTTGGTTTTCCTGGTGTAACAGGCAGATTGTGGTGACCACACCTCTGATCCAACCTTCTGTCCTGCACCTTGCTCCCCCACCTTCCTCTTCTCTCCTCACACCCTTGTCCAGGGTTCAGAGTGGCCCGAAGTACTTCCATTGACATAGCTGGAAGAATAAAATCCTGATTTTTGGCTATTGTCACAGAACAATTGTTGCTGCTGAGGGCTCAAGAGCAGCTAGAGCTGGGAATGGCTGTTTTTCAGACAGTCAGCTGAATAAATGCTCGGGGCAGTGCATAAATGTCATGGCATAAAGATCTGGGGCACTTGGATTTGAAACAGCGCAGAATTACTTCTGAGACAGCCTGCTGCCATTTCCAGGCCTTGGTGGGAGCTGCTGCCTGTTCTCTGGAGGTTCTCTGTTTGCACAGGGGTTGTGATGGGCCGGGGAAGGCCAGCACAGACAGCCGTGACTCAGTGTCCCCGTGAGTCACGCTGTGCTCCGCGGCAGGATCCCGACCCCGAGGCCCGGGATGGGATGCTGTGTCACTGGTGTGGCACCTGGGGCTGTGGAGTTCCACCTTCACAGAGCCCTGCAATCCTTCCAGTTAAAAAAGCCCTCTGAGACCATCTAGTCCAGCCTTGGGCAGTGCTCTGGAGCTGCTCTGCTCAGAACTTTAACTCCATTCCTGCAGCACAGGCAGACCCCAGCGTGGCCGGGGAGCCGGGGCTGCTGGCACGGTTTGTGCAGGTGTCATTCACAGCCAGCAGTGCTGCTCGGAGCTAAAACAGGAGGAAATAAAACCCTGCTCTTTAAGTTTACTGCTGAGAATCTGGGCACTTCTGTCTTAGGGCAGGAGCTTGGCTTAGCCCTGCTCATGCTTTAGGATTTGTGCTCCCAAGTTTTCCCTGAGCAGTGGGGGCTTTTCGGTGGAAATAAGTCTCTACTCCCAGGCTGTGGAGGTCCTGGGTTTGTGTGAATATGGGAATGAATGAGCCGAGGGGAGGTTGGAAGGAGATTCAGCAGAGTGCCGAGCACATGCTGGGAATAAAGAGCCCTTCAAAGCTGATGGTTCTGTCCAGGGGTGGGGGCGGGTGTTCAGCTGAACAAATTGTTCACTTTGGCTTCTTTGCAGGCAGAAATGTTACGATCAGCTAATGAGATTGTTCTCAAGCCTTGTGGGGTTTTCTCTTCCTCCCTCAGAGTCATGATGAGAGCGGGCTTGGCAGAGCTTTAACTCTTGCTCCACACACTGATCTGGTTTTGCATTGATCCAAAATAATAAATAATAATAATGATAATAAAGCTTGGTGAGCTGAGGAATGAATGTGAAGAATATACAGGGACAGGAGCAAAGTGGAAAATAGCAGCTGAATTGGTTGTCTTATTGAAGAAAGGTCCCATCCTGTAGCTCCTGGGCTCTGTCCCCGTGTCGTGGTGAGACTCCTCTGTGGGAGGGACTCAAACATTCCCAGTTTGTCTCTGGAAGGTGAGGGAGGCTGAACTGGGTGTCCCTGGGGGGGAAAGGCTCAAATCCCAGAGCTTTGAATCACTCTCACGTGATTTCTTCTGTCCAAAGCAGGAAAGAGGAGAGTAAATACATCCACTGGAAGGTGACTGCATTCCAGGGGACAGCAGAGCCCCTGGGAATACGCCAGTACAGAGTGGAGGAGGGGAACCATATGGAAAGTGCCTGGAAAGCTGGAGCCTATTGCCTCATGTTGTGGCATTAATCTGTGAGTGTCCGAGGCTCCACCGGCTGCCCTGGGCTGTGCCGCCTCCTGGCATCAGTGCCAAAGGCATTCTCTGGTTGCCAGTGAAGCCCTCCCATGGCTGTTCCAGCTCTCAGCCTGCTTGGCTGCCTGCAGAGTTTCTCAGTGTTTCTGTGGTGTGTTTCTGGCACCGACTGTTTCTTCCAGCGTGACCTGTTATTCCTCATTTAACATCAAGATGGTTTGGGTTTGCTCAAGTGCTTGGAGTGGCAGAAACAATCTCCCTCCAGACCCTGGTGGCTGTTTCTCATTCATTCTGCTGGTTCCTAGAAGTGGATCTGCTAATGTAGCTCCCCTCCAGCCTGTAACTTTCTGATCTGAAATCAGTTCTAGCTCCGTTTTTCTGTGCTGCTCCATGTCATTACCAGGATGGTTTAGCAGCAGCTGGTGGGCCTGCTCTGCTCACTTTGCAGCTGGGCCTTTAGTAGGGCAGTCTCCTGGTGAAAAATAAGTCTGCTAATCTCTAATTCCCTCCGTTTGTTGGGGCTGTGTCTGTCTGCCTGGTTGGAATTCAGCTGCATGGACTCAGCAGAAAGCAGCATGGGCTAGTGGGTGGATGGGCTGACTGAGGGACTTGAAACTGAGACTGAGGTTGGATATTGGGAAGAAATACTTTCCTGAGAGGGTGGTCACGCCCTGGCACAGGTGCCAGAGCAGCTGCGGCTGCCCCTGGATCCCTGGCAGTGCCCAAGGCCAGTGGGACAGGGCTTGGAGCAGCCTGGGACAGTGGAGGTGTCCCTGATCCCTGTGCCAGGGTGTAACCACCCTCACAGGGAGGCATTTCTTCCCAATATCCAATCTAACCCTTCCCTCTGTCACTTTGAAGCCATTCCCCCTTGTCCTGTCACTCCGTGCCCTTGTGAAGAGTCCCTCTCCATTTCCCTTGTAGACTCATTTCAGGTTTAGAAAGAAAGGAGAGGGTTTTCCTCTCCCCAGAGCAAGTGGAGGTTTCCCCAGTGGTCACTGCAGGACATCACACTCTGTCTTATGCATGGTTGCTCCTTTCTAATGCTAGATGAGAAAATAATCCTTTCCACAAAATGCTTGTAGAAGAATTAAAGCTGAGGAATATCCCTGGGTCCTTGTCCCAGAGCTGATCCCCACGAGGGAGCATCCATCCCATGGTGTTGCTGCCAGCACTTGCAGGGAAGGGTGGGACCCAACTGGGAAAGGCTCAGTTCTAAATATAGAGACACTACGCTGGGTGCTGTTTTGGAAAGTGTGGCTGAGCCATCATTCTGTTCCTCCCCTCCTTCACTGCTGCCGCAGGGTGTCAGAGGATGAAGTGTACATTACTGTGTTTCTCTTTCTTGGGTTATTTTTGGTTCAGATCCAGTGGGTTTTTCTGGGGTAGGATGTGTCCTGATTTTAAGGTGAGGAGCAGGTCTGCTGCTGCTCGTGCTGCCATGTCACTTAAGAAACTAAATGGATTTAAAACTATTCTTCTCATGCTTAATCTCAATTTCTGTGTAATCTGAGCAAAAGAATAGGCTGTATTTATCAGCACAGGCCAGTATTCCAGCAGGCAGAGGTGCTTTGTAATGTTGGGAGAGGCAAACTTAGGGAATTGGCACTTGGGATGTACTCTCAGCAGCAATTGATTCTGAAAACTTACTGCTAAAAATTCCCAGAGCTCTGTGGCTCCCCAAAGAACAAACTGCTGAAATCTGGCTTTACACAGGGAGGTATTGCAGAGGGAAGGACTTGAACTCCTGAAGGTGTTTTGGAGAAGGCTGGGAGGCAGAAGGCAGCAGATGCTGTTGCCTGTTTTGTGCCCTGTCTCTGCAGGGACAGCCAGAGGTCCAGCAGGAATATGGATAACGTATCTTGTTCTAAATGCAGGTTTTTCACTTGCAGTTTGAAGCAACCAACTCCTCCTTTTCAGGGTATTTCTATGAGTTGATTTGAAACTTGTAATAACCCTGGGGCTTTTTTGTATTTATTTCATTTTTAGGCAAGTGCATTTGGTAGCAGTTATGCCTAAATCAGGGCAGAGGCTCAGGAGGTGCAGATCTTTTGAAGAACTTGATGATTTCTGCTCCTTCCCATCTTTGCAGCTGGGGCTGCCTCAGTACAAAACCTCATTTACCACGTGCTGCTTCTGCTGTCGTGGCTGGTTTCAGCTCTGAAATGGGTTAATCTCAGCAGAAGACTTTCTAGTTTGATTTTGGAGGAAACATCTGGACATTGCTGTGGCTCCTCTGCCCCACATGCTCTGGCTGGTTCAAAATTCCTACACAGAAGGAGAGGGGAAGATGGGCAAAGGGAATTATTTTGTGATTAATTTCTTAATTGCTGAGCATCCAGATGTGGCAAAGGCTTTGTGCAGCAACACTGAATTTGTCAGCACTTTCTGCTGGTGCTTTGTTTCCACACCATGTCAGGGTTTTCTTGCTTTCTGGGCAGCCTTAATGTTTATCCACATGAATCAGTGTGCTTAGGATATATTTTCATGATACTGTGGCTTTTAACATGGAGAGTGGAGCCGTGGATTTATCCATTCCTTACCATCTCTGTGTTCCTGTCTGCCCTGGAGTGCAGCAGTAGGGATTGAGGGTGTTTTGATGACAGTTGATGTTATTTCCTGGTTTCTTTATTTGCTTGGTGCATCCACCAGATGCAGAAATCAGGGTTGCTTTGCTGTTGCCTGCTCTGTCCTTTGCAGCACACCATTGCAGAGGAGCAGCTTGTGCAGGGTTGGCCCTCTTGGTCCTCTCCAACTTGTAAACCCCAGCAGTGGTGGTTGTGAAACTTGTCACTGAGGTTTAATTGTGGCCACATGGTACGAGCTGCTGTTCAGGTGGATTTGGGAACCAGTGCCAGAGAGTTTTTTTGAAGACTTCAGTCACTGGGTGCCAGCAGATGTTGGAATATTGCTCTGCAGAGACAAGGCCCTTGCAGCACGTCTGTAATTCCTTGGTAATTATTAGCAGCGGTGAGATTGTATCAATCCTGCCATCCGGAATGCAGCTTTTGATCCGTCTGTCAGTTCTCCTTGGATTTCTGTGGTCTGTGTAATTAAAATCTCCCTGAGAACCACGCTGTGTGTGTTGCAGGAGGCGGAGGGCAGAGTGGAGGTGGGCAGCAGACCGTGCCGCCATCGTCAGCCGCTGGAACTGGCTCCAAGCCCACGTGTCGGACCTGGAGTACCGCATCCGGCAGCAGACGGACATCTACAAGCAGATCAGAGCCAACAAGGTGAGGGCTGGGATGGGGCAGGGGGCAGTGGGGTGGGGCAGGATGGGGCAGGAACGGAGCGGGATGGGGCAGGAACGGAGCGGGATGGGATGGGATGGGATGGGATGGGATGGGATGGAGTGGGATGGGGCAGGGTGGAGTGGGATGGGGCAGGAACGGAGCGGGATGGGGCAGGAACGGAGCAGGATGGGGCAGGAATGGAGCAGGATGGGGTGGGAATGGAGCAGGATGGGAGAAGGATGGGATGGGATGTGGCAGGATGGAGCAAGATGGGACAGGAATGGAGCAGGATGGGATAGGATGGGATGGGATGGGGCAGGAGGCCTTTGGGCACTGTGCTTCTGCTTTGCCTCCTGGTGGCTCCTTCTGACCCCAGAGTGCAGATGCAAAGTCTGAGGCTTTTTCCCTCCTGCCTCTCTCCCAAAGCAGATTGCAAAGCTGTGACTAATTGTAATGCAATTTGGCATGGGCTGAGTGTAATTCCTGTCCCTGGTGCAGTATGATAACGTGAAGGGAGCAGTACCTTGCTTTAGAGTCAGTCTTTGGTGCTGAGCAGAGCTGGTGCTGTTACATGTGTGATGCTGTTCCCCATCACTCAAGCCTTTCTCTTTGCTATTTTTTTTTAAACCTTCCCATTCTTTCTTTTTGGGAGTAGCTGAGGATGGGGATAAAACCAGCTGAGATTTAGTGGGAAAGGGAGTGGCCTGTGGAGGAAGTTAGTTCAGATGCTATCTGAACAGGCTTAAAATTGAGTCTGTTCCATAAAAAAAGATCATTTTTTGGTGCTGACCTTTCCCTGTGGAAGGTATTTTTTTTTTTAGTGTTGCTCTCAGATGGTGGGAGAATGGGGGAGAGCAGAGAAGGGATGAGGCAGGAATTGTTATGGAGACTTGTTCAGGCATGCACATGTAAATGTCAGGCCTTGGAGGAAGGAATGTCTGGAGTTTGTGGCAAGAAGGCTCCTGGTATTGCATCAACTGAGAGATCCTCAGGAATTCAGTCTGGCAAAGGCCTTTCCCAAGATGTGTGCTGCTCTGGGGGTGGTGGGGAGAGGCTTGCAGGGGGTAGAATGCAGGGGAGGGAGACTGGACTTTGATGCAGAAAAGCAGGCTTAATTGAGTGAGTGAGGGCTCTGAATGAGTAGGTGGAAGAGCACGGCTTGTGAGCAGAATCCATTACTGAGATTAGGGCAAAAGGCTTCTGGGAAGTGGGCAGATGAATGATTCTTCAGGAAGAATCATCTTCCTTTCTGTCTTTAAGCTGACATTGCAGCATGGTTTTAAGTACAAAATGCAAAATAGCTGAAGGTTTTTATGCTAGAAGTTAAGTAATGGAAGAAACCAGAAAACTCAGGTAATGATGTGGAAGGTTCAGGGCTTTCACCAGGTGATGGCAACTTGACAGGCTCATGAAATGGTTACAAGCATCCCCTGTGTTTTTATAAGGCTGCAGCCTCAAGGTCTGGAAGGAGGTTCTGGCCAGCAGGATCATCCTCTCTGATTTGTTCAAACCAAAACTCAACTGTGATACCCCAATACATGAATTTAAGATAAAACATGTTGCTTAAGGTGCAGGGGCGTTCAGAACTTGAGTGTTTTGGGTAGTGGCTGTTCTGCCTGAAGAAGAAAAAAACAGAACCACATTCTATCACATGCCCCATCTCTGATGGAGCTTGCTGGAGATTATTCTTGCACCCAGCTGTTGTTATCTTGGTGTCATTGAGCTCTGGGATGGTTGTAAAACAGATTCTGTTTGCACCAGTGAAAAACTAGAGACCATCTTAAAAGGGCTTGGAGCAAGAATAGGAGACTGGAGAAACAACCCTGTGTTTCAGTAAGACACGAGCTTGTTGGAATGAATTTGGCTTCAAATTGTACAAGGAAAACAGTTAAAGAATTTGGAAACACCTTGTTTTTTCTATCAATATAACTTAACTCCAGTTTATTGGGCCATAAGGAGGTTAAAATGTAGCTGCTGCAGGAATTCAGAGTTCTACAAGTTCTAAAGTTCAAAGAAATCTGATTACATTCTTTTTTAGTTTAATTACCTTTATATGTTAGAGTTTACATCCCAGTGTACCCTTCAAGAAAGACACATTGCTGTGTCAGATCAAAGCAAGGGAAGGACGAGGCAGTCAAAAATAAGCTCGTGTTTTGAGGGTAAACTGCTGCCTGGGAGTCTCAGCAGGAATTGTGCTCTCAGCACATTGAGCTCAGCTCAGTTGCAGCCTGGTGAGAAGTGGAGGAAAACACCAAATCAGGGAGCTGTGCTCAGAGCTGGTTGTAAAATACCCTGTTTGCAGGCACTTAAAAATAGCAGGCTGTTGAGGGAAGCCTTGTGGCTCTGTCCTCTCTCCAGATAATGTGCCCAGGTTCCCTCCAGACTCACTTTGCTGTGACACACTGTGTCCTCCAGAATTGTTTTCAGGTGACTGATCTGCCTGTTCTTGATCTGAACAGCCCCTTCACAGTTCCTTGTTTGACCAAATGCTACTCACTGGGGTTTGTCTTTGTCCTGGGCTGTGTTCTTGGCCTCCACCAACTCCCTGATCCCTTGCACATTTTGCCCTCCTTAGTTATAATATAACCCAGAATATGCATAATTACAATGATTTTATTTCACTTTGTGTTGTTCTGAGAGCAAAGCAGTCCTGCCTTTAGGTTAAGCTTCAGTTAAACAGGAACAGGACAGCATATGTCAAACCTGATAAAACAGTGCTCAGCCACTGTGTTTGTCACACTGAGTTTATAGCAATGTTTTTCTTTCCTTTCTGAATTTTTGTAAATATTGCTTCTTGTGGGGGGCAGGGGGAAGTCTGCTCAGAGTAACAAGTTGGTACATTTTTGTCACCTGCTCAGAATTGTTTGCTTGGCTGTGGTGGCAAGTTCCCCTCTGCAGGGTGAGGGCAGCTGCTGCTGCTCTGTGCTCCAGCAGGAATCTCCTCTGGCTTGGCTGGCACGTGGGACAGGCAGAGCTTCAGAGGCTGAGCTGCCTCCAGCCACTGTCCTTCCCTCTCTGGGGTCAGCTGAGATGTCAGGGAAAGCCAGGCAGCAGGGGATTGGGTTTGGCATCACGTCTGGAAGCCGTGGTGGGAACTGAGGTGCTGCTGTGCAGGGCGGTGGGTGCGCAGTTTCCCTGTGGACACCAAAGGATCTGCAGTTCATTCCTCTTGTGGGGAACAGGGTTTGTGGCACGGTGGGTGTGCAGTTTCCCTGTGGACACCAAAGGATCTGCAGTTCATTGCTGTTCCTCTCTTGCAGGGGCTGATAGTTCTTGGTGAAGCTTCGCCCGCTGACCCTGCCGTAGATGATTCGTCCCGTCCCCTTAGAGCTGAAGTTAGGCTGGAGCCTGGGGCCGACAGGCTGGTGAGTGCCACTGTGGGGCTGACTGGTCCAGGAGCTTCACCTGCACCAGTTTTGGGGAGGGAGGGCTCATCCCTTAAGCTGTGGGGCAGAGGGATGCTCAGACCATGGAGCAGGCCTCGTGGAGCAGCTCCTCGCTGTGACTCCAGGTGGGAATCACTGATCTTGGTCAGCAGCTCGCCCCCTCCCATGTTGTTTTGGGGTTAATAAACAATAGGATTTAAAGACCTTTTCCAATAGAGTTCCTGGGGGTACCTTTGTAATATGCATTAGCATTTTGTGAAGCTTTAAAATCTTAACTAATCCTTTCCCTCCAGCAAAAAAAGTACCTCAAACTGAGAGCAGCATGATTAGCAAAGGCTGCTAAAGATGTGGCTATTTAATATCTGCCTGAGCATTCCCCCTTGGAAAGGGCACTAATGATTGCAGTGAGATGCACTGGAAACTATGCAGAGTGCCAGGTATTTATTATTTAATGTAGAAATGTAGGGCACAGACTGAAGGCTTGATCGTACTGTTCATCCTGCCTGTGATTGCTTTGGATCCTGGGGGATGCAGCAATATATTAAAATAGAGGGTTTGCAAGTTGTGGTGGAGCAGGAGGAGAAGGGTGGTCCCTGAAACTTCTGCAGGTTCTGCTTGGCACTTCCTTGTGGCCACTCCTGCAGCCCTGTGTGCCCTCTTGGCCTGCTCCTGGAAAGGGTGTTTATTCCCCTTCCACGGGGACTCCCACATCACTCCACACTCCCAGCTTCTCTGTGACACTGCTGGAAGTGTCACCCCTGGAACCGCCGCCTCCGGCACCCAGCCCCTGGGTTTGTGCTTAATTAGGGCTGCTCATTAGGGCAGGGTGTTGAGTCAGAGCCCTGATCTGCTCCGAGCCAGAGATTACCCAGAGACGTTCCCGTGGCTCTTACTGGAAAGGGATCTCCTTTCCTGGAGAGGTGCTTATCATTTTGGCACCCTCCAGGCCTTTTCCCCCCCAAACTGGCAGAGTAAGAGACACATCTGCAGTGTGGAGCAGAGGGAGGAATCCATCCTGTCTCATCCCCAGCTCCCCTGGATCTCCTCCCCTCGTGAGTGCCTTGGATCCGTGTCCTTGGGCATCGGCTTCCTACGTGGGATGGGGCTGATAATCCCCAGGAGGAACTAATCCTATCACCAGTGGAGGGAAGGGCTTTGCAAATAAAGCCTGGGAATATCTTCTGGGAAATGGAAGCTCAGTAGGTGAATAAATATTTTTGTCTGAAGATGGAAATGACATGAAGCCCTGAAGACATTACTTGGCTGCTGATTTTGGTTCCTTGGATTGCTTGTCTAGTGAGGGGCTGCACTTGATATTGTCCCCTAATGAAATATTTCTAGTAATAGGTGAAGATCTGATCCTGCCTCCTTTTGTTAGGGTTTTTTGGGAATGCAGGGGACATTCCTGGTGTTGTCTCATGACCTGTCTGCACACAGCTGATGTGCAACAGCAGATGTGCTACAATTGAATCTTCTACACCCCCCAAGATTCCCAGGGGTCTGAAGGACCTGGACTTCTGGACCCAAAGCACATAAAAGAGCTCAGAGTCAGGAGCAGGGGTGTGATCCTGGTGCTGTGGATGCTGCTCTGGATCCCAGCCTGGCTGCCCAGGCAGCCCTGGAGGACAGCACGGCCTTGGGAGGTGCACCAGGAGCTGGCAGGAGAGTGAGAGTGCAGGAGGTGTTGGCTCTGCTCCTGTGTTGGGTACACCCATCTCAGGGTGATAAAGGGAGCCTGGGCTGCTCCTGATAAATGCACGTTGGATTGATGCTTTCCAGCTTCTCCACAGGAAGCAGCCGAGTCCCTCCGTTCCTATCTTGAACCACCAAGACAGAGCAAGCTCTTGGAGAAGAAGTTCCTCCTTTTAAGACCCTTTCTGTAGAAGAAAATAAAGGATTTCAAAAGAGCTTATGAGTCATGAGTACCCGCCCTGCTGCACCAGGGGTGCCTCTGGCGGGTGTCACGTGGAGGCTCAGCCTTGCCAAGCCTCTGGAAAGCAGAGGGAAAGTGTTCAGCTCCTGCATGACTTCACCTGGCTGGGGAGCTGAGTTTACCTGATGTCTCAGGTGTGATCTGACCTCGCTCCTTCGTCTCTCTGGGTGGCAGAGTTGGTCTCATCCTGTCTTTGCTCCCCCGTAGGAGAAACATCTTTTTTAGCAGAAGTGTAAAAACCCCTGCAAAGTTCCTCAAAGAGGCCCAGGCAGAAGTTGTCTGAGTTGTTATAAATTGCCCTTCCCTGGGTGACTCAGGTGTCTCCTCTTCTGGAAACCGTTAATCCAGCAGTGCCATGGCCTGGTTTTGTTGTTTATTGAGTTGGGGGGTGTTTGCTGGGAAGATTTAATCACCACAATCCAGATGGGTTTGGGATAGAGTCAGGGCCAAGCAGGGGGCTTGGCTGACCATCTGTGTGGTGTCAGAGCTCTGCTTTTGCCCTTTTTTTTTTGGTATTTGAACCACATCACCACTGTGTGTGCTCAGAGGGGGAACCCCAGTGAGAGACAGGGCAGGGAGTGTAGGAAGTGTCACACAAAGGAAGAAATGAAGTTTAACCCCAGGGAGGAGCATGTGTGACACCAAAAACAGGGGACTGCATGGTTGGGGCTGAAGGTGATGAATGCCAGAGGTATGGACACTGGTGGGCTGCACCAGGGTGGGGAGCAGGAATGTCACTGGTGGGAGGTACAAAGCCAGTGTGTCCTTGGAGGCTTGGTGACAATCCTGCTGCTCCCTGCAGAGCCAGGGGGTTTGTGTTTCAGACCTCAGGCACAAGGGATTGGGGAGCACAGTGTTTTTAACTCAATTTTTACTCACTGTGCTCTACCAAAAAGGTGTTTCCAGCTTTGTGTTTATGCAGCACTTTCAGAGTTACAGACTCACCCTGCTCCCATCCCAGCCCCACAGCCTGGCTTCACACTCATTTAAAACACTCCCTAAAATGCTGTTTGGACTCTGTTTGCACAGGTAGTAAGTTAAAATGCAAATTCAGTTTTGCAAATCAGTTCCCCTCTCCCTGCCTCCCTGTTTTCCCCCAAAGTGCTTCGGCAGGAACTTTCAACCACGTGGCTCAGAACAGAAACCAAACTGCAGGAGAGACTGCAGAGGTTTACAGGTGGTGATGAACTTGTTTGCACCATGGAAACAAAATGCTAAAATCCCCTTAAAGCCCTCAGCCTTTCATGCTTCTGGTTGCCTGAGGGGAATTAAAGTCCTTTGGATCTTGGAATGAAAGGGCTGCCATGTATCCATCCTCTTGCTGTCCCTAAGATCTCCTTATGTCCCTGGTCTCCTGTTCATACTGTGACTTCTGAACCCTGCTTTGAAGTCCTGTGTGGAAATCCATGGCTACAGCTCAGAATCCTCAACTAGAACCCAGTTATACTAATTGTGGCTATTTAAGAAGCTCTTATTTATTTCTATTTTTCTCATCCTTCCTTAGAGTGTGTCTGGATCCCAGCCCCTAGAAAGCTTGGGTGTTTCTGCTGCAAATACTCCTGAATCCCACCCCACCAAGCCCTGCGGAGCACCAAGACCCGTCAATGGAGTTATTAACACGTAAGCTCTTGGATATTCTTTGCCATGTCCCATTGGAAAGCAGGCTGTAACTGGGTTGGGAATAGTACAGATGGTGTCTTTTTTCAAAAAAAGTACAGTAGTAGATCATGCCTGGAAACATTTTGGAGGAGATTGCTTGCTTGAGGTTTTCTGCTGCATTGTTTTGCTGAAAATGGAATTAAACTGAGCTGTGTTTACATGAACAAGCCCTGCAGGCAGCTGTGCACGGAGCATGGGCAAAACTTGTTTCTTTATGAGTAGTTTTAATACATCTGCAAATTGTGTGATTCAAAGGTACTAATGCCCTGCTCGTAGAATTATCTGTAACCACTGACCTACTTTATATGAGTTACGGAGGAATCCCATTGATCTGGGGAGTAAAACTTCCTAAATTCTTTATTTCTCCAGGCTGCTTTTGTTGACAAAGTCTTGAAGTGGGTAAATGAAAACAAGTGGAAGACATTCCCTGATGCTACAGGGTTGAACCACTTGAAAACCCTTGAAAAACGTTGCACTTGCTCCGTGCCTTGAGGAGGCAGGGAAAAAGAGAGGGGAAAAGGGAAGGAGGGAGGGAGGGATGGATCCTGCCCCGATGTAATGCGAGCAGATCAAGGAGCCCATGGCTGCAGCTGGAACACTGCAGGCTGTAACAGAGCCCTTTGTATCCCTGTAGCCTTTGAACTGCACAGCCTTAGACCACAGGGCTTTAATGTTTTGCATTTTTAGAAATGAAACACTTGTAGAAGAGACATGAAAAGGTTCATAGATGAGGCGCTGCTGCGCTGGGATCTGCTCGGGGCACGGGGTATTGATGCCAGGGCTGCTGCAGCCTTTGTGCCTAGGAGAGGTTGATGTTAACTCTGCACCTTTCTGGGGTCACTGCTGGGAGCTGGCACAGGTAGAGATCTCAAATATCCATCAGAACCGAGTTTACATCAGGGTTAAATATTTTTTCTGTAAAATTCTATGTTCTCTGGCATTTAGACTCCTGAAAACCTCTTGTCTTAACATTCCCCAAACTCTCATTCTGGAGGAAGCTGAATTCTAGGGTTAAAGCTGTTCAGGTCTAGAGTGGCTTTTGCTCTGTGGCTTTCAGTGCTGTTTTTTTTGTTCAGAGCTTCCATAGGTATTTTGTCAAAGGTTCAGTTCGTGGGAGAGTAGAAGGTGACTGAAGTAAAAGCAAAAAACGGAGTTGGTTTGATAAAACCCATTGTGCCATGAACTGCAGAGCTTTAAACTCAGCTCGGAGCGTTTGCTCAGGAGCGAACCACGAACCTGCTGGTAGCGCTGCGTGAATAACTGGGCTTTTCTTGTCCTCCTCTCCTGTGGGGCAGTCTGCAGCCTGGCCTGGCAGAACACGCTCAGGGAGATGGCCAGGAAGCCGAGGAGCTCCTCCACAAGAAGCAGCGCCTGTCCCTGGTCCCCGCGGACGGGACGTGCGTGGCCGCGCGCACCCGCCCCGTCCTCAGCTGCAAGAAGCGGCGCCTCGTCCGACCCAGCACCATCATGCCCCTTTCCAAAAAGGTGAGTCGGGGGTTTTCTGCTCTTGTTTTCTTTGTGAAGATGGAAAAAAAAACAACAGGAAGGAAGAGCAGGACGGCAGGGCTGTAAAAGCTGTTGGAAGAACAAAGGAGAAGGGAAGGAGGAGGTTGTAACAGGTTGGAAGATTTTTCTTTGCTGTCACTGGGGAGGGAAGATGCTGGACTCGTGAGTTTTCTTAAGCCAACCAACCTGAGGTGAACTCAAGGCCAGGAAGGTCGGTGTGGCACAGTCTGAGCAGGAGAAAGAAGCCCTGAGAAGTCAAGTATCAGGAAACCTTAACTCTGAGACAGGAATTAGCAAAGCCCCCAGGAACTCGCTGATGCTCAAGGGAAAACCACAGCTGTTTGCCCAGGCTTACGTGGGATGAATGCCCTGTCTCTTCCTGTTTTGTTTTCTTTATTACTATTTTTTATATTCCTCTCCCTAATGCAGGATTCATTCAATGGAATTGCACTTTATTGCCTGAATGAGGAAGGGCCATGTTTAATTCTTTTTATTTTCTCTTAGGAATACCATAAACTGTCAGTTGGAGGGAAAATAGTGAGAAATGAAGGAAATAAGGATCTTTATTTGTGCATGCAGAACCATAATGGCAAAAATCCACTTACCTTTGAGACAAAGTGTTTCAAGTCTTAACTTTCCCACAAGGGCTGGGGGGTTTTCACTCTGCGGATGTTTTAAAGAGAAGCTCCAAAAGCAGCATTTTTCTGAGCAAAATAGATTCTTCCTCAGCTGAGTCAGCTTTAACTGATCACTTATCTGCAGTTTTATCTGGGGTATTTCTGGGAGAGCTCTGCAGTGATTACTTGCAAGATCTCCAGTGATTTGGAAGTTGATGAACTTTCTCGTGGTGGATGCTGCCTTGTGCACTCAGTGCTTGAAGAATTGGCTGTAAATTCTGTGTTAGATCTTTGTTGTTGTCATCAAATACATCTGGTAATCAGAGATGGTTCAGAAGAGCAGTTCCAGAGATGAAAGTACCAGAGAGCAGGGGATTTCTGAGCCCTCCTCCAGCCATTCCAGAGACAGCTGAGTCATGGCCAAGTCGTGCTCCAGAAATACCATGTCCACTTGCCTCCACTCCCCTGCCCAGCAGAAAGTGGCTGTGGATTGAACTTTGCACATGCCTTGTGGAGGTTTTGATCCTGTAATGTTTTTATTGTTTTCCTCACAATTCAGTGCACAACTTTATGGGAATTTGGGGGCAGCCCTTCAGCTCACACATGGGCAGAGTGGCAGGATTGCCTCTCTCCTTGCTCAGCCATCCTGGTTAGAAAGCCCTGTGGGCTTAATCTTTATTATTTTTTATTAATTAATTAGTTCCCAGCAGTGGTACTGCACTGCTGATTCATGCTCAGTTTTGGATCCATCACAACCTCCACATCCTCTGGGCAGAACTTCTAGAGGTAGCAACGTAACTGCTCAGTTACCCCTTCCTCCTCTTCTCTGGGCACTGCATCTGCTTCTTGCATTTGCTCTCAGTGCAAATTTGATTTATTTTAGATAATTTCTCTTAACTTGTAACGAGGAGTGAGCTTCCAGCTCTTTGCTTCAAGCAGCCCTTCCCAGTGTAGTGTTGTTTGCTGTGGTTATTCTCTCCCATCCTTCAAGTCATTCATGGAAATCATTTGGATAATTCTGACTCAGAAGAGGCTTCTGCAGGATCCAGTTTGATCCATTTTTCCATTTTGGTGGGGAATCAGGGATTGTTTTCTCTGCATGGAGTTTATATCCAGTTATATGTCTGCTTGCAGTGGTTTCACACAAATGAAGTCTGTATCAAGTCTATAAATCTCTGAATTGTGACTCTATCCTGGATTAAGGAACAAGGTTGAGAACCACCTTTGTCACTCTGTAGATGTCCCTGCAAATGTCAGCTCCTGGCATATAATGATGGCTCTGACCCACTGGAACTAAAAATGGATTCTTTGCCCCTTCTCTGACAGCAGAATTGTGCTGCCTCATGGTTTTTATAAATGAGGTTTCAACTTAGATAAAATTAAACACTTTTAGTCAAATTTAGCAGCTGTTAAACTGTCTGTGCTGGTAAGTCATAGTTTTCAGTTGTGTTTATGCAAAGTGAAAACATCCTCTCGTGAGGCCAGACTAAATTAACAGGTTCTGTACAAGGTAGAGAAAAAAAAAGGGAGGGTGTGTGTGCATATATTAAATTTTTTAATGTATTTATATTTCTAAATAAAAATTATATAGAGGTTATTTTTATATATAGATTGTTTATTATTGTATATAATATATAATTATTATTGTATATAATATATAATAATTCTTATATATTATATACAATTAATATTGAATATGCTATATATTATGCATAATAAGTATAATTTAAAACAATATTCTAAAATGTCACATAACATCTATTTAATATAATAAATTATACAGAGATAAAATGAATTTATTCTATATTTATTGACAATCAAACGTAGCTATAATCTATAAAATGCAGGTTTGATTTTAACTGTTTTAGATACAAATACAGTATATATTTTTATATATATGTAGAGGAACATTAAAGAAATAAAGCTGCTTTTTGGATGTTTTCCACGAGCTGTCCCCGGGCTGGCTGTGACGTGTCCCCCGTGTCCCCTCAGGCCCACCGTGGCAGCCTGGCGCGCTGCAGCTGCGACGTGAACCCCTCGTGTGCCCTGTGTGGCACCCGCAGCTCCTCCACGCTGGAGATCCAGTACGATGCCCCTCTGCTGGAGCGCCTGTCCCAGCTGGACTCCTGCATCCATCCTGTCCTGTCATTCCCAGATGGTGAGCGCGGCTCCTGCGGCTTGCGGGGGGTGCTGGGGACGTGCCCCTGGCTGCCAGGGGAGGTGCAGGTCTGCTGGGGTACAGCCAGACCTCTTCATCTGCTGGTGGTTTTGAGATGAGAGCCTTGGTTGGGAAGGTGTCACACCTGGGCTGTGTTTTGGGAATCTCACCCCGCAGCCTCGCTCACGGTGGGGAAGCCAAGAAGTGCCTGGGAGTCCTTCCTGGGACCTGGCTCTGGGGTCTTTGGGGCTCTAAAGCACTTGAGAAATATTTGCTTGCGTGAGTTTGTCCGTCTGTATGAAATGATTTGTGGATTGGTTTGTCACAGGAAATCCTTTTGACCTCGTGAGGAATTGAAAATGATCTTGCATGGTTCAGTGGGCACAGCAAGAAGGGATGTTCCCGTTAGGACACTCAATTTCCTGTGTTACAGCTTCAGGGTTAATCATCATTAAGAGAGGAATAATTAACCAGCCCTGACCGTGGGCTGTTCACAGATTCCATGTGTAGGGACTTTTCCCAAGGGAAGAGTAGTTTGCAGAGTCTTCTTCAAATGGTGCTTTTATCAGGAGAGTTGGGAAGTGTGTGGATCACCGTGGTTCCTTCCCTTGGTGGGAGTTCATGGCTGCTTGAGGTGTGAAATTGTGGCTGCCCCATCCTTGGAAGTGTCCAAGGCCAGGCTGGACAGGGCTTGGAGCAAGCTGGGACAGTGGAAGGTGGCTTGGCTTCCCATGGAGGTGTCAGGTGGTTGGTCTGGGATAAGTCACTGGACTAATGTGTGTGCTTGGGTTTAAATTCCAGCTTTTCACAAACTTTGTGTGACGGTAGGAAATGCAGGGAGTGTCTGGGAGCAATTAGTGTGGCCTCTTTCATTAGCACTATATTTAAACCAGACTAAAATAAGTAAATTGGTGCTATTTTTAGCTAGATCACTCCCCTCCCAAAGACACAGCTCTGATCAGGAGTGCTCAAGGAACTTAATGAAGTCCTGAAGCAGGAATTTATTTTCTGGTTTCACAGCACTTGTGGTCCTCTGTAGTGCTAAATCAAATATCCTGGGAAATGGGGAGACAACCTGTTGGGTGCTATTGCAGCAGAGGCACCAGACAAATTATCCCATATTCTTCCCATTTTCAGGGCTCCCTGCAGCTGGCTCACAGAGTAGAAGATCAGTTCTGGCTGCATGAGATTAAAAAACTTTGGATTTAAAACTAAATTGGTGTAAAGCTTAAAACACCTGTGCAGGAATACCCATTTTCCAGTACTGGTGAACTTAATTTATTCACTAATGCTTAAAGCAGTTGGCTAGGGTTGATTTTTGGGATGGGGGTGATTCCTATCCCAGAGAAAAGCCAGGTAACGTGTTCAGGTGGGGGAATGGCTGTGCCTGGTGCTTGGGGTGCACTGAGGTGTCTCTGAGCATGAATCCAGGCTGCTGCTGGGGCTGCTGCGTGTGCAGAGCTCGCTGAGCATTCCTGCTGCTGGGGCACAGCTGTGAGCATGTGCTGACTTTCACTTTGAGCTGCCTCTCGGTGCCAGCCGGGATCTCCAGAGCAGTGTGCCAAGGGCAAAACTGCCAGGCACTGCAGGAGGAAAAGATCATTTATTTATTTATTCACTTATTCCCCCGGCAAGCAGGACACAGCCAGCAAGGCCTTTAACCCCTGCACTTGTGCTCCACCAGAGCTTTGTCCTCTTTGTCCCCTTCCTTTCAGGGTGGTGTGGGGTTTTTTTGTTGGCTTTTTTTTTTTCTGGTTTGATTTCTCGCTGGGAATTTTTGGATGATGTAATAACCTTGGAGGGAGGATGAGCGCTGGGCTCACTGTGGTTGCCATCTGCCGGTCCCTGGGAGCCCTGCACTGCTTCCCGAGGAGCAGGGGGAGGAGGGATGGTGTCACTGCTGCCAGCAGGGCACTGCCAAACCAGCAGAGAGCTCACTTCCTGCTGACAGCGTTTTGTCCTGCCTTCTCCCCCTCCCTTCAACCTGTCCCCTCCTTCCACAGATGGTGTGGGATGTGAACTGGGAGGGGAAAGCAAAAGATGAGCAGGGAGCAAAGACTGTTTTCCCCAAGTCTGACCACTCCAGTGGATGGCAGCATCCCTGAAGGACTGGCCTGGCCCCTCTCTGTTTTTTGGGACGTGTGCCCACAAGCCAGCAGTGATGACCAAAGAACTGCCATCACCCTGTGACTGCCCTTCCTTAGCAAGGGGCTGGGTGAGAGCTTGAACCACCACGGTACTTGGAATGAAGCTGTCCTGGCTTTTTCCAGGGAGCCAAGTCCCCACCAGCTCCAGCCCATGCTCTGCCAGCTCCATCCTCTTTGCCTGCCTGGATCTGCTGGGGCTTTCCAGTCCCTGAAATTGGGAGGGAAGTGCAGGACAGGAGTTCAGCTTCCAGCCAGGAGTTCCTCCTGCCCTTGGGGCCCCTCGGTGTGGTCACACACAGCTTCTCATGGTTGAGGTACCACATTAGGCAGATTAACATGCTGCAGTGCCTGGTTGGCTTCTGGCTTGACTTGAAATTGAGGATTTAGCCTAAATTTCTCTCTTCCAGCCCAGATTTGGTGCTGAGATACCTCAGGTTCTTGGAAGTCAGATCTCAGATAGCACCACACGAGATACCTAACAGAGGTGAAGACATAGGAGTTTTCCGTCAAAGAAAACTTTGTTCTCCTGCCAGGATATGCTTGGGCTTTGAATCCTGTAGGAATTTCACAAATACCTGCAGATTACAAATGGTGGGATTTATTGCAGATCCTTCCTGAACATGGGGAAAGCTTATGGAAGCCTGGGTGTGACAGTCTGTGCTTGCATGTTCATCAGGGGCTGCTCTCACTGGGAGCACTGGGGCAGGGCGATGGGACCACAGCTCTTTGTTGCGTGATTAATTTGGATTAATACCCCCTGCAGATGTGCCGACGAGCCTGCACTTCCAGAGCATGTTGAAATCCCAGTGGCAGAACAAGCCCTACGAGAAAACTAAACCTCCCAAGAAGCTGTCTCTGAAGCACAGAGCCCCCGTGCCCCCCAGCCTGGCTGACCCCGCGCGCAAGGACCGCCACAAGCTGGTCAACTCCTTCTTCACCGCGGCCAGTAAGTGCTGCCCCTGCCCCGGCCAGTCTGAGGAGGAGGAGGAGGAGGATGCCCTTCAGGTCCTGCTCCTGGGGGTGAGGCAGGGCTATGGCAGGGCTGCAGGTGAGCTGTGTGCAGGTGCAGCTCAGGTTTGTAGGGACCTTCCCGTGCTCGGTGTCAGCAGTGCCACAGGTCTGAGCACACTTCCCCAGCCACCCCCGTGGTGTGGACAATTTGTGCAGCTGGAGAACTCTGCCCGAGTCTCCTGTGGCAGCAGAAAGAGAGGTGAAAACAGGCATTTCATAGCTCTTTCTCTGTTCCCCTCCTCAGAGCGCTCCCATCAAAAAGCCCAAGCAGACAAGGCACACAGGCCGCCTTTAGACGATTTTTCGGCCGTGTCCAAGGCCGAGAGAGCGCCAGAGCGCTCTGCCCAGCCTCCTGCCTTTGACAAAAAGCGATTGCGAGACTGCTCATCTGAGAGGAGTGAAGGTAGGCCCCCAGGGGCAGGTGTCTCGGGGGGAGCTTGGGCTTTGCTGCATCCCCGGCCTCTCTGCCCCAGAGAAGGGGGCACGCACTGCTTCAGGCCCAGCCGCCACCACAGCAATGCCTCGTGTGCTCTAAACTGCTTCTTCCCCAGGGCAGCCCCCTCAGAAGGTGCTTCTCTTTCCTGCAAAGTGCTCCTCAGCACCGGCCACCTCTGGTGCACGTGGTCCTTTCCTCTCCACCGCCACCCCCTTGGGTGGGCTGGGTTTTTTTTGCTAATGTTGTCGTTCATTTTCTCCCCCTTCCCTGTGCAGTGTTGAAGCATCACACGGACGTCGGTGGCCCGAGCTACCTGTCAGCAGCTGTGACCCCCTCCCCTCACAGCCCCATAGCTCGGCAGCTCTCCACCTCCTCCGAGGGCTCCACTCCCACCAGCTCCACCTCCCAGGGCACCTCCAGCACTGCCGTGAGTATCTGCTGCCTTCCGAGGGGTTCTGGGCTCAGCCCGTCGTGGGGGCTCAGCTGGTACACAGATTTTGGGCTGGGGAATGCTCAGTGTTCCTCTTGCCACGCTGGACCTATTGGTTCAGCTGCTGCTGGGGTTGCTGGGTGGGTGTTGGATGTGTTGGCTGTGCAGAGACAGGCAGCTGCAATTCCAGGTTCACCATCAGCTCAGCAACTGCTGGTGAATGTTCCCGTTCCCAGCAGTCCCCTGGCTTTGGTGCACATCCAGATTTTGGTGTCTGAAGCAGTGTGGGGCTGCCAGGAGAAGAGCTGAGCCTCAGCAGAGCTGCTTCCACTGGGACAGCTCCCCTGTCCCTCGGTGTCACCAGGCTGTGAATGGGCTTGGGGTCACAGGGCCAGGGCACAGCAGTGGTGGTGGAGATCTTCCACCTGGGCACAATCTCCAGCAGTCACTGCACTCTGACCATCTTCTGAGACACAGTCAGACTGCCACAGTGCTCGAGGGTGGCAGGGTGTGGGACCTTCATGAGCTCTGTGAGCAAGCAGAAACTCCCACTGTGCTCAGAACAGGGTGATGGCACAGCTCCTCCACCAGATGCCATCACCCTCCCAGGCCCACGTCAGCAGAAACCCTTCCATGAAAGACTGAACTCTACTGAGCTCACAGGTGTCCCAGTGAAGAATTTGGCTTCTGTCTGGCCCCCCCATTTGGCAGTTTGGGCCAAAGCCTGAGCTGGATGTGACCCAGGGGCAGCAGGGTCCTGGCATCCAGGACTCCTTGAACCCCCTGCTCCAGGCTTGTTGCCATGGGGTTCTGGGTCCCCACTGGGTTCCTTCACTGCAGAATTCAATTGTTCCATCACCAGCTGTGACATCAGGGTGTCAGAAGAACCAGTGGTGGTTCAGTTTGAGTGTGCTTGGCCTTTTGGAGGAGAGGACAGCCCATCTCAGCAGCTCTGACACCTCAAGGAGGCCTTTCCTTGGCTCTGCACACCCACCCTGGTTTTCTCTTGCTGTTTTCCTGCTGTGCTTTCACAAGCTCGTTAAGAAATGCAAGATGAAGAGGTTTCCCTCCTCCAGCAAGAGGATTCCAGGCCCTGGGTTCCATGCCCTGGGCTCAGGGGTGGAGCTCCTGTGTTCAAGCGTCCCAGGCAGCTGCGGGTCTGTGTGGGCTCCCCAACCAAAGGGGCAATCCTTGCTCTGGGCATTCACACCTTGGCATTTGGGATTCCTTGCTGCTGTGGCAGTAGATTTTGGGTTGGGAAGAAGACTTGGAGCAAGCAGTAGGAGAACTCTAGTCTGATGCAAATTGATGTTGGCTCTGAAGTGTCCGTAGGTCAGACGAGGCCATTCTGTCCTCTTCCCATCAATGACTTCCTCTGATGACTTTCCCACCTGCCTGACCCCAGATCCCTTTCTCACGTGGTTCTCCCTGTTGCAGCAGCCGAGGAGGAGGAGGGGTGAGAGCTCCTTTGACATAAACAACATCGTCATCCCCATGTCCGTGGCTGCCACGACCCGCGTGGAGAAGCTGCAGTACAAGGAGATCCTCACCCCCAGGTACTGCCCCAGCCCCGCAGGGAAGGCACAGTGCTTTGCTTCTTCCTTGGGAATAAGGGAAAGGTTGGAAAACAGATCATACTATTGCTGGAGACTGGCTAAGTTAGGGAGTGTTTTCTCTGAGGGACCCTTGGCCATCAAAGCCAACTGCTCAGCTCAGTGTCTGCTCAGTTTAAAGTTGTTTCCTTGTCTTGCTGCTAAGTCAAAGGTCCCAGTGGTTTCCCAGCTCTGCAGATGCCTGGGCTGGGTTAACCTTGCAGTTCTGCCTCTTCCCAACTCCCCTCTGTCTTCCTCCTGGTTGTCTGTGCTCTTCCCTGGCCCATTTCAGAGTGGGACAGGAGGGAGCCTGTGGGAGGAAGAGGAGGAAATGCAGCAGCCTCTGTTCTGCTTCCTCTGCCCTTGGGAAGCTTCAGCTGTGCTACCAGACCACCGAAGGAGGTCTGGTGCTTCAAACTGAACTTGGTTTAAAACTGAGCCTGAGTGTGTTGCTCCTCATGGCAGGGTGGAATTTCCCCTTTCCCAGAAGGCAGTGTTGGGAGGGGAGGGGGATGTGCAGCTGGTTCTAGCTGTGCCCTGAGTGATGCCCATGGTGGTTGTGTTGCAGCTGGCGTGAAGTTGATATCAGTGCTCTGAAAGCCAACCCTGAGGAGGACAACGAGGAGGTAAGAAGGATTTTATTTCCCAGTTGATGTGGGATGAGGCTGGTGGTAAATGAACAGTGTCTGTGGAGGGAACAGAGGCAGGAACATCAGCAGGGTTTGTTCCTTTCCAGGGCTGCCAGAGCTCCAGGAGCATTTGGACAAGCTCTCAGGCATGGGGTGGGATTGTTGGGGTGTCTGCAGGGCCAGCAGCTGCCCTGGATGATCCCTTTGGGTCCCTCCCAGCTCAGGACATTCTACAACTCGATGATAAACATTGAAATTCTCACAGCAACTAGTGCTGGCAAAACTGTACAGAAATGTTTGTTTTAAAGGAGAAAGCTCTTACCAAGCCCTCTGCCCTTCCCTTTGCAGGTTGAGGACTTGTCAGATTCGGCCTTTGCTGCTCGGCACGGGAAGTGTGAGGAGATGGAGCGGGCGCGGTGGCTCTGGAGCACGAGCGTCCCCCCGCAGCGCCGGGGCAGCAGGTACAGCCCTGCCCTCGGGGCCACATTCCCAGCTCCGGGGTGCTCACTGGGATTCCTACAAATGGTTGAAAGCTGGTGCTGGTGTTGAAAAGTTTGGTGTCATCCAGCTTGAGGAGCCCGTGTGGAGTGGGCACAGCCTTGCTTAGGTGGGGGTGAAGCCACAGCCCAGTTTGGCTGCAGACAGCTGCACCAAGTGCTTCCTCAAGCATTTCTACTGCTCCAGAAGTGTGGGAGATGCTGTGCCAGCCCAGGGGAAGGCACAGGGCTTGCAATGGCATCGTTCCTGCAGGATCAGGGACACTGTCACTGGACACTCAGTTCCCTTTCTGCTGTGTCTTTATGAGTGGGTGTCTAAAACCACCACTGTTTCCAGCTGTTGATCTCATCATAGACCTGCTCAAGGAGAGATTTGCTCTTCTCTGTTCCATCACCAAGGGTTTGGTTGCCTGGAGTCACTTCGTTCTGGGCCAGAGCCACAGCTCTGTCCCTGCCCTCGACGCTGCTTTGGTTTCAGTTCTGCCCAGTCAGTGCCTGCCATTGTGGGGCTTCCTGCAGGTGCAAACCTGGCCTGTGTCAAACCCCCCTTGTGCTGCTGCTATTCCTCTGCAGCTGCAGTTCCAGTGCTCCTGGAGAGTGGGATGTTTTGCTGTTTCTTTAGCCCATTTTTTACATCTGAAGTCCTTGATAGCCACATGCTGTTGCAGTTATTCTTGGAGAGTTGCACGTGGATTTGGGAACTCAGTTATGTTTCTCTGCTTGTAGCCTGTGGGTTTTTACCTGGACTCTGTGTCGGGGTTCAGACTTTGGTAATTCTTGGTTTAATCTGAGGTCTTGGGGTTTCACTGTGCTCCTCCTGCTCCCAGCTGCTGAAATTGCTGCATTTCCAGCATTACTGACTCAGTCCCTGAGCTGCTGACTGGTGTGAGGAGGGGGAAACACTTGGAAGTGCCTTGATTCCATAGGGAGCTTCTCATCATGGTGTTTGTGCAGCACTGGGAGTGTAGGAGATGTGTGGGACTCGGAACCTCAGGAGAGCAGCACCAGTGATGCATCCAGGCGGTGGAAATGGGACAGGGATGGTCTCTGGGCTGTGGCATTCCCTGCTCGAGTTCCCATCAGGGCAGGATCAGGCAGCAGTGGGGGAGCATGGCTGGCCTCTCAAACCTGCTCCTGTCTCAGGTCCTACAGATCAACAGACGGACGGACGACCCCCCAGCTGGGGAACCCCTCGACTCCCCAGCCAGCATCCCCTGAGGTGGGCAACTACCACTCCCACTTGGAGCTGTCCCACACCCACTCACCACGCAGCCCCATCAGCCCCGAACTGCTCTGTGCCCCCCTGACCCCCCTGTCCCGGGACTCCCTGCGGCTCCTGTCCAGCGAGGACACGCGTTGCTCCACGCCCGAGGCCGGCCTGGACGAGCAGGTGGGTGCTGGCAGGTGTGGCACTGCAGGTGACCCTGTGTGGGGACACAGGCATGGCACCACAGGTGACCCTGTATGGGGACACTGGTGTGGCACCACAGGTGACCCTGGTGTGGGGACACTGGTGTGGCACCACAGGTGACCATGTGTGGGGACACTGGTGTGGCACCACAGGTGACCTGTGTGGGGACACTGGTGTGGCACTGCAGGTGACCCTGTGTGAGGACACAGCTGTGGCACCGCAGGTGACCCTGTGTGGGGACACAGGTGTGGCACTGCAGGTGACCCTGTATGGGGACACAGGTGTGGCACTGCAGGTGACCCTGTGTGGGGACACTGGTGTGGCACTGCAGGTGACCCTGTGTGGGGACACTGGTGTGGCACCGCAGGTGACCCTGTGTGGGGACACTGGTGTGGCACTGCAGGTGACCCTGTGTGGGGACACTGGTGTGGCACTGCAGGTGACCCTGTGTGGGGACACTGGTGTGGCACTGCAGGTGACCCTGTGTGGGGACACTGGTGTGGCACCACAGGTGACCCTGTGTGGGGACACTGGTGTGGCACCACAGGTGACCCTGTGTGGGGACACTGGTGTGGCACTGCAGGTGACCCTGTGTGGGGACACTGGTGTGGCACTGCAGGTGACCCTGTGTGGGGACACTGGTGTGGCACCACAGGTGACCCTGTGTGGGGACACTGGTGTGGCACCACAGGTGACCCTGTGTGGGGACACTGGTGTGGCACTGCAGGTGACCCTGTGTGGGGACACTGGTGTGGCACTGCAGGTGACCCTGTGTGGGGACACTGGTGTGGCACCACAGGTGACCCTGGTGTGGGGACACAGCTGTGGCACTGCAGGTGACCCTGTGTGGGGACACAGGCGTGGCACTGCAGGTGACCCTGGCATGGGCAGGCAGGCTGGGAGCCGCCTGCGGGCGCTGCTGGAGTGGCTCGGGTGGGATCGGGCAGCGGGAGGCGCTGCCGGCTGCTGTCTCCGTGTCCGAAGCTTCCCGGACTGCTCCGAGCCTGGGAACGCGCCCCGGGAGCAGCTCCGGGCTCCGCATCCGTGCAGGGAGCGAGGACAGAAGGCTTTGCAGGGATTCTCCGTGACTCGGCTCTCTTCCCCAGGCCGTGCAGCCCTGGGAGCGCCGCACCTTCCCGCTCTCCTACGACCCCCGGACGGAGTGCGAGGAGCAGCCCGACCCCCAGGACCGGCTCTCGCGCTGCACCCGCCGCACGTCGGGCAGCAAATCCTCCCGGGAATGCGATGGCACTTCGGCTTCGCCCAGCCTGCCCAGCCTCAAGAGCCGAACCCCGCTGGCCCCCCCCTCCTCCTCCTCCTCTTCCTCCTCCTCTTCCTCCTCCTCCTCCTCCTCCTCCTCCTGCTCCGCAGTCCTGCGGCCAGCGCACAGATAGAGACACACGGGGAGACATGAGCAAACCAACACACAGAACTAACTCTTGGCATTAAAGCTTCCAAAATCTGCGTTTGATATTCAAACATCCTGCCGGGAATTTTCACAGTTTTTAGTGAATTTAAGGAGTTTAGAAACTGTTTTTTGTTTTCTTTTTTTTTTTTTTCCTTTTTTTTTGATTTTTTTTTTCCTTCTCCATGTTTCCTCGTCACATGAATGAGCCCCCAGATTCCTCCCAGCGGAGTGAAGCCTCGGGAGGGGAGCAGCCCACCAGACCCCCTCCCCTTTCCTCCCTCTTTTAGGTGTATAAAACTAGAGCACAGGATTTAGCTGACTAGCAGATTTCGGGGATAGTTTTTCCCACCAAAAGGGTGTCATTTTCTCTTAACCCACTCCCCCCACCCTGAAAGGTTTTAGTGGAGTGAAATTAGTGGTGAAAAGTGATGTCTTGGGATTGCAACCTTCACTGTCTGGCTGTCCTCACCTGCAGAGTGCCCACCTGCACTTCACCCTGCTGCGTTTTCCTGCCCCAGGTTGTAGTTCCAGGTATCCAAAGGGGGGATTCTGTCCCTCCCTGATCCTCACTCTGCCCCTGGGGACACCTCTCCCTTCCTTCTCCCCTGGTTTGGAGCAGCCGTGGCTCTGGCAGGGGGAAAGGAGGGACCTTGTGGCTGCTCCACACTCGGCGTGGCAGGGGTGGGAGTTGGGAAGCACCTTGTGCACACCCTGGTGTGTGTGGCGAGGGCAGGGAGGGGAAGAGTCCCCGATGCTTTGAGCAGGAGCAGAATTCCCGGAGCACTCGGATGCCCTTTGGGCTGGGCTGGAGCTGTGCCCTCGCTGTGGGCTCGGGCAGTGGGGGAGCCGTGGGCGAGGAGCTGGGTGCCACGGCTGGGTTTGTGTCACACAGGGCGGGCAGAGAGGGAAGGATGGAGGCAGGAGGCAGCTCCGGGGGGATCAGGCTCATCCCGGTCCCGCGTGGGGTCACCGCAGCTTCGCTCCACTCCCGCACCGTCCCAGCTCCGGTGTCGGTTCCGTTTCATTTCGGGGCGCCCGCCGTGCCCCCTCCTGACAGGTATTTTGAGTTTGAACCCCGAGTTTGTTGTTCCTCCCCGTCCCCTCCCACCCGGTTCCGCACCCGCAGCGATCCCGGTCCCCGCACACCGTCCCCATCGTAACGCTTCCCGGTCCCGACGGTGTGGCTCCTGGGCCCTGTCCTGTTGCTAGCATTGTGCCTGTCTTATGTATAATCACATCACCAAAAAAAAAAACGGGAAAAAAAAAAAAAAAGGGTTTTTTTTTTTTTTTTTTTTTTTTTTTTCCATTTTGTAATCGTAAAGAAATAGTCGCTGAACTGCTTCATGGTCGGGGTTTTCACAATTTTCAACATGATCTCGTGGTTTTGGTTCTGTTCTAGTTTAAAGGATCCGTCATCGTTTCTTTAAAACAAAAACCCAACAAACAACGGCGCTACCATATCCCTCTGCAGAAGTGCTTTTCTATTTATAAGGTTGAAAATTCTGAATAACCCTTTTAGCATTATAAAAATCACACAAAAAAAAAAAAACCCACCTTGTATTTTGTAAATATTTTCTTTTCCTGCTTTGAGCTGTGTAATGTCCTTGTTATATAGAAATGCTTTTCTTCCGAGAAGCTGATCTTTGTTAATGTCTTGATTCTGTTGGCAAAGCACAAATGTGCTTATAAAAAAAAAAAAAAGAAGAAAAGATTAAAAAAAAAATTAAAATGTAATATTCCATTTGATGAGTGTGAAACGCTGGGCTGGGACAGGGAAGGGACCCTCAGTGCACTCAGATCAGCTGCTTCCCTCCCGTGTTTCAGTGGCCTCTTTTTTTCCTGTGTGATGTTTTTTTCCAGCAGTTACTGTCAGCAAGAGGAGGAACCCCTGGGCTGGGGGTTATTTTACATTTCTGGGGTTAGCTGGGTGCTGCTGGTTTCATCCAGGGACTCTTGGGTGCTTCCTGACTCCAGCAGGCAGGATCACCCCTCTGTGCCCCAGGAAGAAGTGTGGGAGTTCAAAAAGTAAAAAAACTGATTCTGTGGATGCATCCCAGCCCACATCCCCCCATGCAAAAGAGGTGCCAATGACCATTATCGTAGTAATGACTTTATTTCCAAATTCACTTTTACGGCAACAGTGTAAACCAGTTGTTAAACACACGATACACTATGGACACCCACAGACAGAAGCTAAGCTAGAATGATACACTGAGATCAAACCTTCCCTCCCCTCCCCGGCGCAGCGCGGGGGGCACGGGGCTGCCAACACCACACAGGCTGGCACCGACCTTGGCTAACACGCAGAATCTTTTGGAGTGCAGAAATACGATTTTTTTTCTTTTTTTCTTTTGAAATCAGTGCCGGTTTTAACCCTTTTCAGACCCAAGATGTGTGTGGAGTAAAGGAAAAGCCGGGGGTCAGGCTGTCCGGCTGCTCGCCGGACCCTCGGGCGTGGGTCTGAACGCGGGGTTGGGGCAGGGGACGTGGCTCGGGCTGCTGGAGGGGACAGCGGGTGACCTGGTGGATGTAAAGGGCTGTCCTGGCACCCCACAGCCCCCGGGGGGGGACCACAGCCAGGGCTGAGGACACTCAGAGTAGGAAGGGGCTGCTCACTGGAGCTCGGTGCACACCAAGGCCATCCCAGCCCTGGGTGCTGGTGTCCCTCAGGGGCTGCACGGAGGGGACAGGAGTGGCACAGGACGGGCCAGCTCAGCTACCCCGTCCTGCAGCCCAGAAGGGGTAAGGAGGTGATGCTTTGAGGGTTCTCCCAACTTGCTCGTTCTACAAAGGACAAAAAGCAGGCGGCTCCTACAGCGCTACGGAGTCAGGGACGGAGCACAGAGTCTTACAATCATGGAGTCAAGTGAACGGAGCGAGTGACAAGCTGGACACGATGGTGCTGCTGGACCAGCCTCTCCCCAGCAATAAAGCAGCTCCTGGGGCTGCACAGAGAAGGGTTGGACCCTCCCAGACCATCTCCATCCACAGCCAGGCCTGCGGCAGCCCAGCCCTGCAGAGGGACAGGGGTGACAGCGGGTTCACAGCTCCCACAGGTCCTGTCCGGGGAGGAATTGCTGCTCTGCCCAGGAACAGCTGCTCTGGCAGCCTCGGTGGCACCCAGCCACCACCCCAAGGACAACCAGGGGGCCCTGACCCCCCGCCAGCCCTGTTGGACCAGGACTGCAGCCCTGGCTGGGAAAGCACGGCTTTCCCTGCAGCACAGCCCGGGGTGCAGGGGCTGCGGCCCCACCGGGACCCCTCTGCCCTCCCACCTCCAGCTGAACCCCCAGAGCTCGGCTGGGGCCCCTGGGGGAGACCGGGCAGGAGGACACACACAGCTGCACTGGTGGCATCTCGGCCTCTTTGGTTGTAGAGGGAAGGGGCAGGCAGGGACATCCACGGGACCCCCTCGTGCTCCCCAGGGAGCCACAGGAACAAAAACAGCCAAAGCAATAACTGGACTGGCTCCTGTCCCCGAGCGGTGCTGGGGCGGTCAGTGCTGTGGGAGGGGTGAGATGCTGCCAACTCACACCGGGGAGCGCCCGGAAAGGGGGTTCAGTGCCGGGGAGCAGCCGCGGGCCCCGGGCTGGGGGAGCTGCTGCTGCCTCCCCCGCGTCCTGCCGGGGTCTCACCGCTGCCACCGGCACAGCAGAGCCATGGAGCTGCCACCTCCGCCATCGCTGAGCTGACCTTGCAGGGAAAGAAAAAGAACAACCCAAAAATGTCACAAGCTGCACCCAAAGCCAGGAGCCATCCCAGCCCTGGAGCTGTGAGTGCCCCTCCTCCGAGCTCCCCCGGCAGACATGCGGTGCCGGGCTCCTCCTGCGGCACCGGGGCCGGCCGAGCTCCCCGGGCCCCCGGCTGGGCTGCGGCGGAGCCGGCGCGGGGCAGCTCAAAACTACTTACAGCATTTATTTTTTTTTTTTTTTAAACACATGCTCGTTTATGAAAACAATCACCCTGGCACGGTCCAAGCATATACAGACAAATCTACTCTACGACACGAGGGGCTGCCAAAGGAATGGGGAAAAGCCTCTACTCATCCACTCAGCGGTTCCAGCACAGCCACGGAGAGGGGAACGGCCCGTCCGGGGCCCCTCGGAGCGGGCACCCGGCGTCGCCAGAACTCCAGCTGCCGGAGCTGAGAGCGGGTTAGGGGGTACCTGGCCGTTATCTTCATACACATCTCGGCTTTCGGAAATAAAAACAAAAAAAAGTTTCTTCCAAATCAGCAGGCAAATTTAACGCGGGGAAGGAGGGAGGGAGGGATGGAGGGAGGGCACCTCCCCGCAGCCCTGGCTGCGCACCCAGCCCGGCCAGCGGCAGGACACGAGCTGGGCGAGGTCACAGCCCCTTCCCGGGAGGGCCACCCGCTGCCCTGTGCTGGTGCGGGGTGCTCGGGTCAGCGTCGTGCTGTGGCCGCCCCTCGGGCCCCCTCCCCGCCTCGCCCCGGCAGGGCTGGGACAGCGAGGGGGAGCGCGGGGACGGGACGGGCTGTGCGCTCCGAGGAGCAGGGGGAGAGGAGGTTTTGTACCTCATAGTGTCACTGATTTTGAAGTCCTGGAGCTAGAGCTGAATGAACAGTAAAAGCAGGTTAAATCATTAACCAGTTAGGGACGGGGAAGCAGCTGTAAAAGGAACAGAGGAAGAAGGCCAGATTATTATTTTTCTTTCTTTTCTTTGTCGTTTCCTTTCCTTGTCTTCTCTCCTGGTGGCCGCCGCGCCGCGATCACAAGCCCTGCTTGGCCAGCGAGGCGGACACCTCGTCGGCTAGCGTGGCCAGCTGGGGGGAGTCCACCAGGTTGATGCTGCCGGTGGAGGAGACGTTGCTAAGGCGGCGCGGGGAGGCATCTCCGGAGATGGTGGGGGACTTGTAGACGATTTCGGCGCCGTGGTCGGTCTTGGCTTTGGCGTTCTCGCGGAAGGTCAGCTTGTGAGTCTCAATCTGTGAAGGAGAGGATGGAGGTCAGGGGCATGGCCAGGGGACAGAGGGACCTGCCAGGTGTCTGCTGAGAGGGGGGAGCGGAGCTCAGAGCAGTGACCCGGTGTCCCCAGTGCCCCTGGCCTGGGCACGCCCCAGGCACCAGAGGGGACAGCAGGACCTGAGCATCTGGATGCTGCCAAATCCTCTCCAGGCGAGGGGTCCTGGGTCCCAGAAGGCAGAGGGCATAACCTGGGCTGCTCCCACTCCCCTGGCAGAGATTATGGGGGCACACGGCACGTGAAGCTTCCCCTTAGCCCACGGAGCTGCTCCCAGGAGCCAGACCCCTCTCCCGGTGAACTGGATCTGCTTTGCTACTTACAGGTGCCCTCCCCAGCCGAGTGTAAGGCTGGGGGCTGGCTCTCCGTGGGGGTGAGTGGCTCCAGCACCAGGGCCTGGAGCCCAGCGGGGTCTGGGCTCGGGGTCCAGGTCTTGTCTTCCTTGCCTTTCTCTCTCTACAGGTGAAGAAACCCACCCAGGGCAGTGGGGGGCAAAAAATGCATCAGCAACAAAAACCATGATCCAAGAAATGTCAGCCAGAAGGAAAAAGACAAAAAATATAGAAAAGGAATGGAAAACTGGGGAGAAAAAGATCTGAAAAACAGGGCCATTCACTGACTCATAGAAAGAAGAGTGGCTGCCTTTGGAGCCAGGGAGGAAAACTCTCCAGGAACAGCACGGGAGAGCACAGGGACTTGGGCAGAGCATGGAGCACCCAGGCAGACCCGGCACAGGAACCAGAGCTCAGCCTAAAGAGCTGTGGGCTGTGAGTGCCAATGTGGATCTGTCTGTCACAGAGCAAGGAGGGGGCTTGGGGACAAGGGAGAGGGGCAGCAGAGCTGCAGCTGGACTCAGATACACCCAGAACCTCCTCCAGGCTGAGAGGGGCAGCCACCAGGCTGGAAGGCTGAGATGGTGATGCCACTGCTGAGTCAAAGCCTTGCAGAGAAACTCCCCTGCAAAGGGCAAGGTCTTCAAACTATGGCCCAGTGAACGTGCCAGGATGTGAGAGAGCCATCACTGGAATCACAAAACCGGTGGCAAAAGGCTCAGTGAAGCACAGGGGAGGCTGATGCACGGCAGAGAGAAGGGTAAGGAAGTCAAGCGGTCCCACAGTCAGAGGCCAGCTGGAGGTGAGAGCTGGAGCTGCACAGAGAACACGTGGCCAAGAACAAAGTGCCAAAATACAGGAGCTGAAACAGAACCTTCCCCTCCCATTGAGACAAAAGTGCTGCAAAAGCAAGCAAGATAAAACCCGCTCTTCCCTGGGGAAGCTGAGCCCCGCGTGTCG